ACATATGGTGTTGAGTCAATAGAAACCAAGCAAAATTTTTTAATAAGTTTTTTAAAAACTTTAAACAAGGATAGCTTAACAAAAACTTAATCAAATTTAATAAATTTTTTTTTAAATTAATTCTATAAGTTTGTAAAAATTATTTGAAAAAATTTTTATTAAATTTGGTCAAGGCTTAATTAAGTTATTCTTTGTTAAAGTTATGAAAAGTTTTTATTATAAAATTTGTTTGATTTCTATTGACCCATATACTTGGGCCCGAAGTTAAAGTTGCATTAAGAGAGAAGTTGCACTTAGAAGAGTTGCACTTAGAGAGAGTTGACTGTAGAATTGTCTGATTTTTTTCATCCCACCTTTTACAGTAGCATTAGAAGATTATTAGGTCTATTGATGCTTTCGAATTCTCGCGGTGTGTGTATTGCACGAAAGCGGGAGGGACAGAACACTCATTGCTGTATTTGTAGTTTTTGGTAACACCCCCTCGATAAGAGACAAAAACAAAAGGCAATGGCAGCCGTCCCGACAAGTCATCAAATCATAGCGACTGCCAGATAATTTACTAGATTTGAAAAAAAAACCCAAACAAGTCAGCTTAACAGGAAAAAACAGAACTTACTTTATCTGGGAAAAACTCGTTCCTCTTAAATACTACTAACGATTACTAATCGAAACTAAAATCAGATATGAAATCTAATCATCTTATGTTGGTTCTGTATCTACGGATGTATCTGCTGCAACATATACAGTACATTGTCTTGATATTATATAAATTTGGTTATTCAAGATACTGTATTGAATTATTCAAATTGAGTAACATTTAAAATAACTCTTAAGTACCATATTGCTGTGTGAAACTTTGACAATTTATTAAAAATGAAATTGTTGGAGAATTTAATTTGTGAAGAATATACAATTTTAAGAAGTTATATGGCCAGTTAGAAAAAAATCAATACTATTAGACAAACAAAATGTGACATATAAATTTTTGTCAAATATCTACTAAAAATCTTCCAATAGTCAAACCTAGACAATCGAAATTTATATTATACAGTTTTTCAAATTATATTTATATCATTCATTAGGCAAATTCTATTTTGACCCGGGTCAAAGTGACCTATCATGTGAACATGTGCCCAAGAATTTTCAAAACTTTGAGCGAAGTTATCTCGACAATCATCAAACCAAATTCAATAAATCTTTTTTTATTTGAATTCTATGGATTCTTGAGTTCGAATAAAAAAAATTTTCATTAAATTTAGTCTAATAATTATCGAGATATCTTCGCTCAAAGTTAAAGAAAAATCAAAACGCCTATAAAATAGAAGTTGCACAAATTTTTCTTTAACTTTTACCGAAGATATCTCGACAACCATTAAACCAAATTCGATAAGCCATTTTTATGTTGAATTCTATGGATTCATAGAATTCGAATATACAATTTTCATCGAGATATCTTTGAAAAAAATCAAAACGCCTATCAAAATAGAAGCTGTACTAAATTCTTTTTAAAGCTTTGATCGAAGATAACTTGACAACCATCGAACCAAATTCGATAAACTTTTTTTTTATTCGAATTTTATGGATTCGTGGAATTCGAATAAAAAATTTTCATCGAATTTAATCAGATGTTCGTCGAGATATCTTTGCTCAAAGTTAGAAAAAAAAAACAAAACGCCTATCAATATACCAAATCCTTTTAAAACTTTGAGCGAAAATATCTTGAAAACCATTAATTCAATTCGGTAAAACTTTTGTATTTGAATCTTATGGGCTTATAGAAATTGAATAAAAAATTTTCATTGAACTTAGTCAGATGGTAGCTAAGGTATCTTCGCTCAAAGATAGAGAAAAATCATACCGCCTATCAAAATAGAAGCTATGCCAAATTTTCTTTAAAGATATCTCGACAATCACTTGACTAAATTCGACGAAAATTGGTTATTCGAATTCATGAATTCAGAAGATTCAATAAAAAAGCTTTACTAAATTTGGTTTGATGGATGTCAAGATATCTTCGTTCAAAATTAAAAATAAATTGGTGCAGCTTCTATTTTGATAGGTGTCATTACCTTTGAGCGAAGATATCTCGATAACTACCTAACTAAATCCGATGAAAATTTTTTATTCGAATTCTATGAAACAATAGGATTTAAATAAAAAAGTTATATCGAATTTGACTAGATGGTTATCGGGAAATTTTCGCTCAAAGCTTGAAAATCTTAGGTATATGGTCATGTTATGGGTCACTTTGACCCGGGTCAAAATAGAATTGGCCCATTCATTAATATTCAACTCATCTATATTCAACATATTCAACTCTTTCAATCCACTATCTGTTAAATAATATAGAGTTATTGGAGATGCGGAGCATTCAATAACGAGAATTATTTTTCTGGATAAATGATTTCATGTGATCCGTATGATCGCATGATAATCATTTCCCAGAAAAATGATTCGAGTATCTGGCTGTATTTTTAATATACCAGCTCTGGGTCCCGAAGGGACCCAGAAGCTGGAATATTAAATTTTACTGCCAGATACGAAAGTTATTGGTGCTTCGTGGGTATTCAATAACAGTATTATCCACGATAGGGCATACAAAATAACTCGAGTTATTTTGTATGCCTATCGTCATAGCTTCCGGATAATAATTCATAATGTTTTGAATGATTCAACTTATTATTAAGGCGTGAAATTACCATGAAATTTTCCCTAGTTTTTTCATATTAATCAAAAAATGAAGCTATGTTTTAATATTTTCTATTAATATGTGTTTCTGAGGATTCATCTTTGAAAATTTATTAATTAGGAAAAAAGCAATTTTTAACAAAAAATCACAAAAGGTCAAATGTAGTTAAAATGTAGTTATTTTGAAATAGTTCTTACGAATAATTAAGTGTAATATTTACGGAAAACTTTTGGAGTTTTGGGTGTTTCTTTATAATTATTATTAAGTAAAATAAAATAATTATTTTAATTTCACTAATAAAAATTTAATCACAACAAATAATCAATGTAGTTGATATAATTTTGATTAATTTGTCCATGTAACATTCCAACGCGGATGTCAAATTTTATAACTTTGAAAATTCCGATATTTGTGTAATATAAAAGGAAACTTAAATTTATAAAATTACTTTTCGTTGGATATTCCGAGATTTTTGTTGTACTTTACCTAAAGGAAATAATAAAACCAGAATTATCACGGTTCTTGAAATAAATAGAAATCAGGGTGTGTAATTGTTTTTTGGCAATAAGTACGCATGTAAGTTTAAGATAATTGAATATATAGTAATGCAGTATAGTATAGCCGAGTATAGTAAACTTCGGTATACGTTATGTGTAGTAAATATACTGAGAGTATAACTTTTGCGATTTAAATTATATGGTATGTATATTTTTTTTATGGCATTTATTAACATAGTGTATAGTTTGAATAATGTTTTATGCATTATGTATAACTGCTGTACGTCGAGATCGAATTTTGTGGATTTTGACTCCACCTATTAAGTAATGATGCCTGACGAATGACGAAACGTTTTCCACTGACGCATGACGAAACCATTTCGTCAAGCGGCTTCGAATTGACGAATTGACGATTGACGAAACCTATGACGATTGGCGAAACCTGTGACGATTGACGAAACATAGAAGAAACATAATAAGCATACAATTAAGAGTTAATTACTACTCTATTTAAAAATGTAAATAGATTCGATCAACACATTAGTCACGTGCATCACGTGCACACTACAATTCGTTCGTTCTGAATCAAAAACAAGTATCAAATTTTTTATATTTATTTTGTTTTATTTTTTTTATTTTTTATTTTTGTTACTTTCATAATAATATACTTCTTCCCTATAAATTATCTTCAAGTTTTAATGAAAGAAAAACTTTGGTTGGGGCGTACTATTTTAAAGATCCATATCAATTTCTAATCAAGTATGCGCATTTTATCCCATTGAAATTTTATATAGGAAAAAAAAAAAACCAAAGTTCAAAATTTCTTAAGCCCATTTGATTCGTAAGCTGCTATAGATCATAAATATATATACTACAAAATGCGTGAAAAAACTTAAAAAAGTCTTTTCTATTTTTCCAACATCTCATTTTTTTCAACATCTTATTTTTTTTTGACGTCCCGTTTTTTTACCTATTTTTCTCAACATTTTATTTTTTTCGATATAAATACTGTAAAGTTGTTTCAACAAATAGCGATAGTGCATGCTTCAATAAAATAGCAATAATGCATGCTTCAATAAATGGCGATATTTTAAGCTGTAACAAATAGTGATAATTGTACAATTCTGTCTTATGCAATATATAGCAATTGGTGGCACAAATAATGTAAGTATGTGCATATGTAATTAATATAGCACAATAAATTTAAACTTTTTTTGAGTAAAATCGATGAATAGTTTTTTGGGTATAAAAGAGGTCTAAAGCACTTGATTTTTCAGTATCTTTGCATTAAATCACAATATTATTTTTTTAAATATAAAAGAATAGAATTTTTTAACTAAATTACTATTATACCCGCAAGAAATATTTATGCCAGTCAAAGACAATGCAACTCATCTTAATGTTTCAGTCATTGAGAATCGGGTTCACACCATCATTATTACATTTCAAACCTTAATTAAATGCTTGATTTTTTTTTTCTGATTCACCATTGAATATAAAATTTGCACCTTAAATTTCTTGGTAATATTAGTTGTTATTTAAATTTTAATATATTCATTAATTAAACTAATTTCTATTTTATAATTTATTTTTTAGTTATGTTTTTTTGAAATATTTAAGTAAGTAAAAGAAATTGAAAAATAAATTTTGAAAAAACAATTGAATACCTCGATACTTCATAGATTTTGTCTAACTTATATTTAACTGTTACACATCATATAGTTCCCAGACAGTTCTCATTTCTGATCAGATAATACAAAAAAAATGCTTAAATATCTTTTACACATGTTCTTGTTTTTTTTTCTTGTATCAAAATGGATAGTGTATTACAAGTTGATAAAGGAAAATTCAAAGTACCTGAAACCTCTTTACCTGAAAGAGAAGAAACATTATCAAGTTCTTTATCTTCAGAATATATTTATAATTCAAACGTATCAAATGAAACCAACTCTGGGGGATGAACTTTATCACCAGTTTGGAGTTTTTTCATAAAGAAAAAACTATATCAAAAGAATATTTTTCTGCTAAATGTGATTATTGTCTAGCTAAATGGGCAAGATGTGAACTACAAAGACTCGAAGCTTATCTTGCATTCAATTGCCCTAATGCAGATAATGAGGTCTGACAATTATTTATACATCGTATAGCCTTATACGATGACATTGAAGAATTACATTCAGAAAATTTTAATTTAAAAAAAAAAAGTTAAATAATCAATCTAGTCTTAAAAGATACTTTTCACAAACTGCAGAGGAAGATTTATCTGAAGAACGAATTTATTCTATAAATCATTTATTATTAAAAGCATTTACAGTCTGTGGTATTCTATTTTCTGCAATTAAAAAACCCATTTTTTATTGATCTTCTCCAAAATTTGTGTCCAAACTATCAACAACTAAATTATATGTATTTTTAAAGCTCTAGATAGATGGATGTCTTCCAATGAAAACTCTATATATAGTTTTATAATTTTAACACCTATGTATAATAGATTTTTATATTTATTACATGATTTTTCAGAACATTCACATATAGCTGTATTTCTTGTAGATAAAATTGATGCAATTTTGAATGAAATTGGGTGTGATAAATTCACAGTAATTGTGACAGACAATACTAGCAATATAAAGCTAGCCCAACAAATAATTTATCAAAAATATCCAAAGATTCTAAATCTGAATTGTATTGCACATTGTATCAATCTTATATCAAAAGATATTCTTCATATGTATTATAATACATATATATATTTAACTTATTGTAGCATATTAATAATACTGTATATATATTTTTTAGAATATAGATTCGCCTCTTGTATTATGAAAGAATGTAACAAAATTATTAAGTTTTTTACAAAATCTCATCAGTCAAGTTCATATTTGCATCAAGCAATAAATAAGTTAAAAATTGCTAGTGGCAGCTTAAAGAAATTTGTAGATACATAATAGATGTCCACATATGAACGTACTTTATCAGTTAGTCTAGAGTTGTTGGTGAAACTGGTGAAACTTGGTGAAACTGGTGACTATCTAAAATCTGATTGGCTGGTGAATGCAATAGCCAATTAGATTTTAGATAGCCACCAGTTTCACCAGTGTGATTTAGTTTCACCAACAAGTCTAAGTTAGCCAGCTTGAACGTGCATTTATCAAGATAAATTTATTAATATTTTATATATATTGTAGAAAATAACTAAGTTTTATATTATTTATATTACAAATTATAAATAAAAATTCAGACTTAATTACCAATCGAAATGTAAAACAAATTTTGAGGCAACCATAGTTTTTTTAGATCTTAAAGTCTTGGTTAAAATCTTATCTCCTATTCTAACAGCAATTGTTAATTTGAAAGCATGATCAACAACTTTGGCAGATTAATTTTTACAATTTATTCAACTAGCGGCTGCCATTAAAAAAGTACCAAATTTACGTGCCAAGAGGTTTAAAACTTATTGTATACAAATTTTAAATAAAAGATAGAAGAATTTTAATCTGATATTTACTTACTAGCATATTTTCTTCACCCAGGTTATCGTGGTATGTTGCGTGTTAAAAACCTTTTTTATTTTTTATTTTTTTTATAATTAAGCATATAATTAATTAATTTATTTTTGCCAGACATTGGATTACATAAACAACAATTTGAATCAATTGTAAAGACTGCTATTCAAATATGGCAAGAAGAAAATTATAACAAATATGAATGTGCAAGTCTTGTAGCCTATATGAGATTATTTCATGAAAAAAAAAGGATTTAACTTGCCTTATTGTTTTGAAACTGATACTTCTTTATTGTGGTTGTTAACAAATTATACTGGTTCAAAATCTATCAGACAATTTGCAATCAAGCTTTTTTCAATTACACTTCATTCTGCTGATTGTGAAAGAACCTTTTTATCATTAGGGCAGTTATATGAAAAATGATGACAATGGCTTTCTCTATCACAAATTCAGGCTATGACACAAATTCGATCTTATTATATTTCAAATATAAATAAAGAGCTTTATTTTTTTGGTAAAAAATTATTATTAGATAATTTACAAGAGCAAGTGGCATCAGCAACTTTCATTGTTGAAGATGAAAGCATTACTGAAGACTCTGAAATAGAAGAGGCTAAATGTGATAATTTAGAAATTATTGAATAGTTTGGTATTAAAAATATAGTATGCTTAAGGGATGAAATATTTCAAAATAGTGAATCTGATAATGATAGTGAAAGATTGTATAATGTTGATCCTGAAGAATTTGATCAATTTAATGATGATGAATCAGTAGTTAGTAATAAAATAGGGCAAGGAGTATTTGATTTTGATCCTGCAGACTTAGCAGCTGATTTAATAAAAGAATGGAGCTATGAAGATGATAATTATAGTTTAAGTAGTAAATAAACATATTGATAATAATTCAAATATCATAGATAGGGATATTAATGAAAATTTAAATGTTGTAGAAAATTCTAATAAGAATTCAGAATCTTTACCTATAGCACTTAAAAAAACTTGTCATACAAATTTAAAAAATTAGATTGTAACAATTTAAATAATAAATAAAGTTAGAGTAATATGGGCCAATTTAGGCCCGTGGGTGGGTGAATCCTTGACCCATGCTTGTGGGCCACTCAACCAAATTTAGTTTTGCATCTAAAATTGAATACTGGCAATATAAAATAATATAACTTGCTTTTATTATTATAATAATTATTTTGTCAATAATTTTACCTTACTGTGTATAATAGTTTTACTAATTTCATCAGTTTACAAAATAATAATTTTATATAGAACTTTATATTGAAATAACATTTTTTATAAAAAAATAATTAAAAATTTAACACATCCAGAGATCATCATTGAGAAGCTTGATAAGAGAATTGATTAAATTGATTTGTTAAAGCTTTCTCAATCACCAAGGTTTCATCAATCATCAGGGTTTCATCAAATGTCAGAGGTTTTGTCAAATATTAGGGGTTTCATCAAACATCAGGGGTTTCATCAATGGCAAGGGTTTTGTCAAACTAAACTATAATGAAACCCTTTTGTTATCATAAAAATAATTTTGTCAGGCATCATTAGCCTCAGACTAATGCTTGCCTCAGATTACAGTTGACGCACTTCCGATTCAGATCGTCAGGTGAGGTTTGTAAACTATTGATCTATCATCTAAATTGCAATCTAATAAAAGTATGAGAGTAAAATAAATTGAATAAAAGACTTTTGACTTGGTGCTTTTTTATTCTTGCTATCTTTAATCTCTTTAGCATTTTTCTTACTAGTAGCATTCTTTACTTTAAATCACTTTGGCGTCTTTTTTAACTCCAGTAACATTTTATATCTTCGAATCATTTTGATGCTATCTTACTTCCAGTGGCATTTTTTACATTAAGCCTCTTCAGCTCCATTCTATTCTTTAAATTTCTTTTCCTGAATTTTTGTGGCACATTCTATTTCCAATTAATATGTACTTTTTTTTTATACGTACAGCTTTTTTTTTTTTGCCTAAATTTTTACTGCATACTCTTCCTGTTAAAGTCTTCTCAGCACATTCAACTTCAATGATACTTTTTATTTTATACATTTTTTTTTTGGCAGCAGATATACATACCCCAATTTTGTTATTTGTACCCCTCTGTAAAGTAAAACTTATTTTAACTTTGAGCAATGATATCTCGCCAACCACCTAGTCAAATTTGATAAACTTGTTTTTACAGATTTGTAGAATTCAAATAAAAAAATTGATCGAATTTGACTTGGTGGTTGCTAGATATCTTTGCTCAAAGTTTGAGAAAGTTTTGGTTCAGCTTTATTTTGATAGACGTTTTGAGTTTTTTAAACCTTAAGCGAAGATATCTCACCAACCACCTTGTCAAATTTGATAATTTTTTTTTATTTAAATTCTACGAATCTGTAGAATGCTAATAAAAAAAAGGTTATCAAATTTGACTAGGTGGTTGGTGAGATATCATTGATCAAAGTTTTAAAATATCTAACAAAATAAAGCTGTGCCAAACTTTTTTCCAACCTTTGAGCAAAGATATCTTGACAACCACCAAGTCAAATTCGATCAATTTTTTTTTATTTGAATTCTACAAATCTGTAGAATGCAAATAAAAAAATTAATCGAATTTGACATGGTGTTTGTCAAGATATCTTTGCTCAAAGTTTGAAAAAAAGTTTGGTACAGCTTTATTTTGTTAGATATTTTGAGTTTTTTTAAAACTTCAAGCAATGATATCTCGCCAACCATCTAGTCAAATTTGATGAACTTTTTTTTATTTGCATTCTACAGATTCGTAGAATTCAAATAAAAAAAATTGATTGAATTTGACTTGGTGGTTGTCAAGATATCTTCACGCAAATTTTGAGAAAAATTTTGGTGCAGCTTTATTTTGATAGACGTTTGGAGTTTTGTTAAAATTTTGAGCGATAATATTTCGCCAACCATCCAGTCAAATTTGATAAACCTTTTTTTATTCGCATTCTACAGATTTGTAGAATTCAAATAAAAAAAGTTGATTAAATTTGACTTGGTGGTTAGATATCTTCATGCAAAGTTTGAGAAAAATTTTGGCGCAGCTTTATTTTGATAGATGTTTTGAGTTTTCTTAAAACTTTAAGTGAAGATATCTTGATAACCACCAAGTCAAATTTGATAAACTTTTTTTATTTGCATTCTACAGATTCGTAGAATTCAAATAAAAAAAAGTTTATAAATTTGACTAGGTGGTTGGTGAGATATTTTCGCTCAAAGTTTAAAAAACTCAAAACATCTATCAAAATAAAGCTGTGCCAAAACTTTTTCAAACTTTGAGCAAAGATATCTTGACAACCACCAAGTCAAATTTGACAACTTTTTTTATTTGAATTCTATGAATTTGTAAAATGCAAATAAAAAACGTTTATCAAAGTTTACTAGATGATTGGCATGATATCATCTCTCAAAGTTAGAAAAAAGTTTTACTTTACAGGGGGTACAAATAACAAAATTGGGGGGTATGTATATCTGCCACCTTTTTTTTTTCTGTGTGTAATGACATTCAATAGGTTACACATCTCATTTAACGATCTATACCTAAGATGTGTCGGCTGTATCCGGGGTAAGCATTAGTCTGAAGCACAATTTATATACCTCAAAATTTTGCAAAAAACCTTTTTTATTAGAATACAAAGAGAAATTTTATAAGCAAAAACTATAATACAAGCAATTTTTAAAAAATTGCCAATTTTTTTTAATTTTCATTAGCAAAAAATGCAAAAAATACAAAAAATATCTTTGTTCTCCAGATGTATAGAAGTTAGAAATTAGAAAGCATTGTGTATAAATTCTGGTTAGCCAGACTGGTATTTATAAATTTCATCAAGATC